TTTATTTTATAGTCAGAGGTAAACAAGGTAGTGGTTACCATAGTTACACTGTTCTTGTGAGTTTCACTTGTTTTGGCAGCACTTGCTGCACCTCCCTCAGTCCATTAGCTTCCCAGATAAGATCTAGGGAGCTTCATAAGGTCAAGCTTAATTATGCTAAGAGGACTGTGCCCTCTAAGCTGGGACTTGTTTGTGACTTTGCCAACAGGTCAGCCCGAGGCTTAACCCTATAGCCGCGCCCTACAAAAATGGAATTGTTTGTTTAGTTTCTTTTCCTGGGGATTTGTTGGGGTCCAGCCCCAGCAGGTCCAGGGGTTCCCAAAGGTGTGGACAGAGTTGGCGAAGAAGGAAGGACACGGAGACAACATTCAGTTGATCATCATAGCCAAGTTCTCACTTTATTCTCCTGTTAAATCTGTATTTATACCATTTGATCCTATAAGCATGCCTCTGTAGTTACATCATGGTATGTTTTGGGTCCTCCCTTAACCTTCTACAGTTCCTTGTTTCATGTCCATAGTTTATCTGACCCTTGCCAAAAATCCCATCTCCATCTAGTTCCGTTGAGTTTAATCCTATCCATTCTATTCCAAAGGTTAGGGCTAGTTATCTCCATTCCAAGGTCACTACTCTACTGTTCTGTTAAGCTACAAGGAAGTAACTGAAGGAGATTATCCTAAGTAAAGATTATGTAGCTTAAGCGTGATTGTTCGTAGTTAAGGTGATTAACTACCCTCCTGGCACTTAGTTAAGGGGTTTTACTGATTTATTCCCTTCCTTAGTCCCATTAATCCCTAACTCCAGGGAAAAATCCCCACCTGGGGAAACAACCTTTCTCGGAGAGGTGGCCTTGGTTAGAACACATAGCTCTAAGAAGGGGAGCAAACCTATTAAGAACAGTATGCCAGGTCCCTTGAAACATATGCTGTGCAGATGTTTCTTCCTTGTATTGACTGTGTCAAGCAACAAGGATGGACCAGCCTCCGGCAGGAATTCATTATTGGTGTATAAAAAAGCCATTGATTTTTGGGTGTTGATTTTGTATTCTGCTACATTGCCAAATTCATTGATTAAATCTGGTAGTTTTTTTTGATGGAGTCTTTAGGGTTTTCTATGTACAATATCATGTGATCTGTGAATAATGAGAGTTTTACTTCCTCCTTTCCAATTTGGATGCCTTTTATTTCTTCTTCTTGTCTGATTGCTGTGACTAGGACATCCAGTACTATGTTGAATAAAAGTGGTGAAAGTGAACATCCCTGTCTTGTTCCTGTTTCTAGGGGAAATGGTTTTAGTTTTTGCCCATTGAGTATGATGTTCGCTGTAGGTTTGTCATAAATGGCCTTTATCATTTTGAGATATACTCCCTCTATTCCCACTTTGTTGAGAGTTTTTATCAAAAGGGTGTTGGATTTTGTCAAATGCTTTTTCTGCATCTATTAAGTTGATCATGTGATTTTTGTCTTTCAATTTGTTTATGTGATGTATCACGTTTATTGATTTGCAAATATTGTACCAGCCTTGCATCCCTGGAATAAATCCCACTTGATCATGGTGTATGATCTTTTTAATATATTGCTGGATGCGATTTGCTAATATTTTGTTGTGGATTTTAACATCTATGTTCATCAGGGATACTGGCCTGTAATTCTCTGTCTTTGTAGTGTCTTTACCTGGTTTTGGAATTAGGATAATGATGGCCTCATAAAAAGAGCTTTTAAGTGTTCCTTCCTCTTGGATTTTTTTGGAATATTTGAGGAGTATAGGTGTTAGTTCTCCTTTGAATGTTTGGTAAAACTCCCCTATGAAGCTGCCCAGATCCGGGCTTTTGTTTGCTGGAAGTTTTTTGATTACTCCTTCAATTTCATCATTTGTTATTGGCCTATTCAGGTTTTCTGATTCTTCCTGATTCCGTTTTGGGAGATTGTATTTTTCCAGGAATTTGTCCATTTTATCCACATTGTCCAGCTTGTTGGCATATAGTTGTTCATAGAATTTCTTTACAATCCTTTGTATTTCTGTTGTGTCAGTGGTTACTTCTCCACTTTCGTTTCTTATTTATTTGGCTCTTCTGTGTTTGTTTCTTGATGAGTCTGGCTAATGGTTCATCAATGTTGTTCATCCTTTCAAGGAAACCAGCTCTTGGTTTCATTGATTTTATTTATTTATTTAGTTACTATGTCATTTATTTCTGCTCTAATCTTTATTATTTCCTTCCTTCTACTTACTATGTGCTTTTCTTGTTGTTCTCTTTCTAGTTCTTTAAGTTATAGGGTTAAATAGTTTATTGTTGATTTTTCTTGTTTTTTGAGGTAGGCCTGTAGTGCTATGAACTTCCCTCTCAGGAAGGCGTTTGCTGTGTCCCAGAGATTTCTGGTGTTCTGTGTTCATTTTCGTTTGTTTCCCGGAAGTTTTTTTATTTTATTTTTTATTTATTGATCTTATTGGTAACCCATTCATTGTTTAATAACATGCTATTTAGCCTCCATGTGTTTGAGTGTTTTGGGTTGTTTTTACTGTAGTTGATTTCTAATTTTATTCCACTGTGATCTGAGAAGATGCTTGATATGATTTCAATCTTCTTGAACTTGTAGAGACTTGTTTTGTATCATAACATGTGATCTATCTTTGTGAATGACCTATGTGCACTTGAGAAGAATGTATATTCTGCAGCTTTGGAGGTGAATTGTTCTATAAATGTCAATTAAAACCATGTGACCCCTTAAGCTGTTCTCTGATTGAGTGACTTCTTCAACCCTGTCTTCTAATTCACTGATTTGATCCTTAGCTTCCCTTAATCTGCTGTGTATTCCTTCCAATGTTTTCTTTATTTGTGCTATGTCATTATTTGTGTTTCAATAGTTACTATATCTTTTCTCATGCTTTTGAGCATCTTTACCATCATTATTCTGAACTCTATATCAGATAAATTTCTTATCTCCATTCTTTTGTCTCTTCTTTTGGAGAATTCTCTTGTTCTTTCATTTTGGGTTGTTTCCTTGTGTCTCATTTTGGCTGCCTGTTTTGGTGGTTTATTCTGTATTAGGTAGATCTGCTATGCCTTTCAAGCTGTAGTGCAGGACAGTGTCAAACACTGTTTCTGACTAATTAGATCAGGCAAAGACTCAAAGCCTCCAGAAACCGCCTCTGTCTATAGACAGATAGAATTCCATCTTGAATTGCCCTCAGGCAATTGTCCCCAGGTGTGGCAAGAGTTTTTTTCCCAACAGGGTGGGGCAATTGCTTCTGCCTGGAGGCTAATTGTTATTCTCAGTCACTTAATGGCCATCAGAAACTCTGCACAGTGGGGCAAGGTGTTTTCCAATAGGGTGGGTCAACTATCTTCCCCACAGATAAGGCCTCCTGTATAGCAAATGTCTGCATAAGAAAGATGACCTCTGCAGCATGAGGGAATGACTCAGCACAGGAAACCAGGGTGTCTGCCTTCTAAACTCTAACCCCAGAGCCCCCAATCCTGGCTTCTGCTCACACAGCTCCAGCTGGGGCACAATGTGGGTGGCTCCACAGGAAATTTTGTGCATTGGCCCTTTAAGAGCGTGCCTGAATTTCCAGCTGTCTCTCCCTGGCAGACAGCATCCCAGGTGCTTTTCCCAGCCAGATATTATGTGGGTACCCTTCTCAGTTCTGGTGCTTTCTGCTGGGGGGGCGGGGGCCCATCTTGGGGATAGACCCCAGAGTTCTCAGTGGCACCCCTCACAGCTGAGATATCTCTCCGGAACTTCAGTTGCTGTCTGTGGGAGCCCAGCCAGCCCTCTCATGCCTTTGCCCCTCCTCCTAGTTCCTATGCACTCTCCACTTTCCGTCCTCGGTTACCAGGGTTCTCGCCAGCGAGTCTCCCATTGATTATTCAGGAAGTTTTTCTGTATTTTAGTTGTAATTTCAGCTTGGTCCTGAGAGCATGCCCATGCAGCATCCACTTACTCTGCCACCATTTTTAATTCTTCTGATTAAGTTTCATTTCAAATTAACTTTTATATGTGGGCAAAAGGTAGAGCTAGGTGTGTTTTCCATATGGAATTTCAGTTGGCCAAGCACAATTTATCAAAAAGACCATTTGTTCCCTCTTAATTTTAGTAACACCTTTGCCAGTAATCAGCTGACCATAGATGTTGTCTGTCGGTTTCTGGACCCTATTCTGTTCTGTCTATTCTTGCATCTTTGTAAGAGGTTTTGATACTTGGTAATATATAAGTCCTGAGGAAAGGGGCTTTTTAAAAAATGGGATATATTTGAGCTCATGTAAAATCCAATGGAAGGATCTAGTTGAGAGTGAGAAGTTGAATAAAAAAGAGAGAGGACAGTCTACCCCTGAAATTTCCTAAGAAGATAGGAGGAACTGGGATCCAGGTGCTAGTGGGAGGGTTGGTGGTAGATACTCATCTATTAATCCATTCAACATCAATGTTTTGGACAGCTCCTGTGTGCCAGCCTCAGGCATACAGCTGTGCATACAGCCGTGCACTTCTCATGGAGCTCCCACCACTGGAGCTCCAACAGATGGTTCAGGCAGCAGTGAATGCCACGAAGAACACAAGTGGGATATTGTGGTGGACAGTAATGGAAGACTGCTCCAACTGGGCAGCAAGGAAGGCCTCTGGGTGTCAATGACACAGGAGTTATGATCTGAACAAGCAAGAGCCCACCTTTGAGAGCTGAGTGAAGAGCATCCCAGACAGAGGGAACAGACAGTGCAAAGTCCCTTAGGCTAATGCCAGCTTGTGGTGTCGGTGGAACAAAGAACTAGTGTGGGTGCAACAGTGCAAAGAGATGGGGAGTAGGGTAACCAAATGACATCAGAAAGTGAGTTAGAGACCAACAAATCTCCAAGGAGGGCATTCCTTAGGGTTGGTTAACTGTGGGTTTTTAGTACATGTGAGTTGGGTGGGTTAATTGTGGGTGGAAGGACTGTTGTTAATGTATGTGTTGGGGGCATCTTGTCTTTGTGAAACTGCTCTCACACTTGCCCTCTCTCCCTGCAGCCTCCTGAATGATGCCAGCCCAATGTTCCCTAGCCTCCAGCCTGGCCCTCCTGCTGCTGTTGGGCGCAGTCCGAGCAGGCCCTTTCTCTCCACGCTCCAATATGACACTTCCAGCCCCTCGGCCCCCTCCTCAGCCAGGGGGCCGCACAGCGGAGCCAAGAGGGGGGAACCCCTCTTCTCAGCTTTACGAGCACATCGTAGAAGGAGGGGAAAAGCAGGTGGTGTTCACCCACCGCATTAACCTGCCCCCTTCAGCTGGCTGTGGCTGTCCCCCAGGCACTGAGCCCCCGGTCCCTGCTTCAGAGGTGCAGGCCTTGAGGGTCCGGCTAGAGATCCTGGAGGAGTTGGTGAAGGGGCTCAAGGAACAGTGCACTGGGGGATGCTGTCCTGCTGCTGCCCAGGCTGGCACAGGTGAGCAGGTGACCACAGGAGGGGGCACAGGAAAAGGGGCAGGTGGGGAAGTTGGGTGGGCATCGCCAGTATAAAAGACCCGGGTATGAATTAGAAAAAGGCACCTTTTCCTCACCACTTGGGGTGGTGAGTGCAGCCAAGGGCACAGCTTGGGGAGGGGAGCCATCTGGCTAGATGTCAGCTCCCCTCCCCCCACATAGTGATAAGGAGCAGCTGGAAGCTAAGATGGCCGTGCTGGAGGGGAAGCTCAGGGGGCACTGTAGGGACCCAGCCTCTTGCGCAGAGACTGAGGCCCTCCTCTCGCTCTTACTCCAGGCCAGACAGACGTTCGTAGCCTCTGCAGCCTCCACGGTGTGTTTGACTTGAACCGCTGCGCCTGCTCCTGCGAGCCTGGCTGGGGTGGGCCCACTTGCTCCGACCCTATGGACTCCCGAGTGTCCCCTTCCTCCCCACCCTCTGCTTCCGGGTCCTGCCCAGATGACTGCAACGACCAGGGGCGCTGTGTCCGTGGTCGCTGCGTGTGCTTCTCTGGCTACACGGGCCCCAGCTGTGGCTGGCCCTCCTGCCCCGGGGACTGCCACGGCCACGGGCGCTGCGTGCA